ATTGACTTAAATATGGGACCTTATGACATAATATAGGAATCTGACTCTCCAGTTAAATTATAGACTCCTTGAGGACATAAGTTTTATCTCTTTCTTTCATAGTAGTCCTCATAGCATTTCATATGATGGTAAATGCAGAGAAAATACTCAGTAAAAATTGATTATTAGCTTGCCTAAAAAATATTTAGAAACAGATCAGGAAGGGACTAGGAAAGAGTGTGATTGCAAGCAAAGGTTTAGAACACAGAAGAGCAGCATACCCTGCAGATGACAGCTACAGATAACTACCAAAAGAAAGCTGTACTATTTATAATACTTTTTAAAAATGTATGCCTGCATAATCTATGCATAGCATCTATTACATGCATGATATTTGAATGTAAAGAACCACCAGGTAAAAATGGTATCACTGAAGACAAAGATTAAATACCATATATCTTAAACAAAAGAAACTCTTCAGGCATGGTAAAGAAAAGTGTATTCATTGCCACCATTTGTATTTTTAGTGCCCTAGCCTTGATTTTAACACTCACGAGCACAGGTTACAGCACCAATTCTCTAATGTAGACCTAATGCTTTACTTCAGTAAATAGTATAATGAGAAATATAACCAGTGCCCAGTTTTAAAATAAGCCACTTGTTTTTTGTTTTGTTTTGTTTTTTGTTTTCTCTTATGAACTTACATCTGCACAGGGTCTTTGGCTTGAAACACATCTAGTTTTTAGAGTGGAATATTCATACTTCCTATTAGCAGGGAAGTTCTAAGGTAAAACTACTGTAATTCTAATGTAGAGAATTTTAGGGAAGTCCTGGAAACACTAGACTATGTTTCTTTAGAAACCTGAAAACCTTGGGCCGGGGATTTAGCTCAGTGGTTCTGCCACCTGCCTCGAAGGTGCAAGGACCCCCGAGTTCGATCCCCAGTACCAAAAAAAAAAAAAAAGAAACCTGAAAACCTAAGAAAAGTTTTATTGGAGTAAGAAGCAACATGATAGAAGTAACTAAGTAACTTTTTGGTTAAATTTTAGTAAATGCTCACAGTTGATGAGAGGAGCAACAATTAAGTATGCTAAAGTATTTCATATTACCTTAGGGAACAGGATGGTATCTTAACACCTTGCCTATGTGTTCATTAGATATAAGAATTTCTAGGGGATAGAGAGAAAAAAAACCCATGGTTACAGGTTTAAAATCCAAGGAAATGGTGCTTCTTAATGTTTTGATAGTGACAATGAAAGGAGAACCACAACAAGAGAACCACAGAGGTTCTGATCTGTGTCGGGGGTAAGGTACAGAGTGCAGACCAAGGTCAATTTCATTCTGAGGCAAAGAGCTGAATTTTAGGAACTAGCAAAAGGGTTAAGATGAAACCAGACATCTCTCCAGTTATTTTGTAGTCTGATATCCCTCATTTGTTCCATTAGAAAGTCTGAGTTTACGTAGCCAATAAGTTAGGTGATTTTTGTATCAAAAATGAGAATATATTTGAAAACATTTTGTAAACAGTATAGCACTATCTAAATGCAAGTTAGCATTCTCCAAGTGTCTCAAGTATTTTCCACTTGTCCTCATGACTTTCATTACATTCATATGACTTAGGAATAGGACAAGAAAACAGGATTTTATAGTAGAGGGGATCATTGAGATCATAAGCCTAAAGCTTTTTGTTTAGTGAGGTAGCCCTTCTAGTATTTCTGCCAGATGTTCATGTAGGTTCTGTTCGGGTATTTCTACTCAAAATTACTCTGATACTTGTTAATAGGGGTTAAATTGATGCACTGTTCTGTGGGGAAGTTCATTAATGAGCATTAAAGTTTTGATATAGAATTCTGCTTCTAGGAAATTATCATCATCATTATTGCTAACATTTGTTGAGTACTTACTGTGTGAAATGCACTGTTCTAAATGCTTGCCATGAACTGACTCAATCTGCATGACAACCCAATGATATATAAATGTACTAGTATCCCTATTATATAGATGATAGAATTGGATAGCAGAAAAGTTAGACGAATTGCCCAAGGTCACAAAGCTGGTAAGTGGAAGAGCCAGGTATCTAACAGTCTGTTTAGATCAGAGTCAACACTTAACCACTGTGCTGTGTTGTAACTTGCACTATTTTCTAAAGAGGCACTTGAAGAAATATACAAACACACGTTTTCAAGTATTTTCATCAAGGCCTTAGGTAATATAGAAAGAGACTGGGGAAAAAACTAAAATATCAATAAAGGGTTTGTTCAACTTTATATGATATATGCCATTAGAAACAGATACTATAGGGCCGGTTTAAACCACTGATTTAGCTCAGTGGTTCCAGCGCCTGCCTTGCAAGCGGAAGGTCCCGAGTTTGATCCCTGGTACCAAAAAATAAAAAAACAATAAAAACAGATACCATAGAGTATTTTAAATGATTGGGTTAATCTATATGTATGTAAAAGACATCGGTGTTTTGACAGTATTATAATTTGCTCTATTTTTGATGAGAAAAAATTGTTAAAGACTAGATTTTAAATTTTTGACATTTTTTTATCCTTAGGAGATGAGACTATAGATGACAATTTCCCATTGTACTCTTTTTAGTTAAAGGCATTTTTTCTGAAATTCCTTTTTGCAAAGAGCATATATTGTTTTCATAAAGAAACTAACAATAAAGCTATGTCATTTGGAGGGTGTACACAAAAGAAGTACAACTCATTCTTCTCTCACATATATTTCCCTTTCACTCTGCTCCACCACATTCTACTAATGAATTACTCTCTATTATAAAATTTTCCCTCACTTTGTACATCAAGAGCTTTTTGTTAGGTGGAGGGATTGTCACAATATGTTGAGGTCCCACTGTGTGTCTCTTGCTGTACTTGCTGTAAGTCTCAGACTGTCCACAAGTAATTGATGTTCTATTCTGGGAGGTACAAACATAAAACACAGGCTCCTCTCTATATCAACATCTAGTTTACAGACATAATCAACCACTCAGTTGTGAGGGACAAACAGTTGGAAGAATAGGAAAAAATGTGATATCACATTTCCTGTGCACCATAAACAATAAACAGAGTTCAGAGAAGGGATAAATCTTGGAAACTGACAGTAATGTTTAAGAAAGTTTTCTAGAGTTTTCTAGAGGAGATGAGAACTTAAGCCCAGTCATGAAGGATGGTAGAAAATTTTATTGTCTGAATGGCATGAAATTTTATAGATTTCTTTAATTATGTTTCCAGAATTCTATTCTCATAAAGATAGATTGAATCAGTGTAATTTTGAGCAGTTTCTTAAATTATTCTGTGCCTCTCAGATATCTTATGTGTAAAATGGGCATGATAATAGTATCTTTCTTTTAGGATTATATTAAGTGAGACTGTACCAATAAAGCATTTAATATAGTACCTGGACCACTTTTGGCTCTCGAGCATAAATTTTCTTATGCTTTTTCTCCTATGTTTCCACTCAACAGTTTCCCTTCATTTTCTAGCTCTTGGTACTGGCAATCCTTTCTTCCTCTTGGGTATGCCTTTCTGATTCCTAGCTGCCCTACTGTGTCTACCTCATTGACCTAGCCTAGTACTTATATATTGCAGGACTATTTGCCTACTTTCAGACTGCCAACTTTAGTAGAGTGCCGTACTTGCTCTTTTAGCCACCACATGGTTCTCATGTCCCAGGCTTCATATATTCAGACTCTTGGACTCATGGTTCAACACAGAACTCACATTGAAAGAGAGGGACCTATTGTTTTTTCTCCAAATCTAGACCAGAGGTTTGAATGCAGGTTACTTCTGGAACCAGAGGTTGACCTCAGAACTCCCATACTGAAATAAATATCCCCACTACTGCCCTTACACCATGGCCATTTCACTTCCTGGCTCAGCTCTCTGTCAGAGGCAGTGCCTGAACATTTCCAAGGCCTATGAGCTAACTTCTGGCTGATTCTTACAAGTAGCAAGAGTCAGAGTTGAGCTCAGCCATCAGCTGTCTTCCTCATGCGAATGGACCCTGGGCTTTGCTGCTTTAATAGACAAATCCTTGCCAATTATAGAAACAATGAGCCTCTTTAGCACCCCTGTCACTGCCATAGGGTAACCAGAGACAGAATGACTCCTTTCCAAAGGTGATTTTGCTGGCCAGCACCTATCACCTCAGTCTGGGCTTCCTGACCACTTTTTACAATTCTTTTGGATCAAGTAGAGCACTCCCTGGCCTTTTCTGGTTATAGAGGTCTCATTGTTTCATGGTCAGCACAGGCCTTTCACAGGCCTGTCTTGGCTTTGGAATCCTAGAGAGTTTTAACAAACTTTAGTGGAATATCCATTTTTTCACTCTAAACATAAAACAGTGAATCATATGAATAAATATTCTTAGGTCATCTGGTCAGTCTCCTGGGTCCAACTGCAGAGTATTTCCTTTAGAACATGGTCTAGTTTTTGTCCAGTCCTTGTTTAAATGTCACAGATGTTGGGACATCCTCATCTCTCATTGTAGCTTAGAGAACAAAGCATACTGTGTTTTCTTAAAGCCTTCTTTCCATTGCCTACTACCCTGTTACTTACCCCATCTCATGTAGCAAGCCCAATGGAAAGTGTCACTCATCCTCTCAAGAAGAAGTATTACTTCAGGGATCCCCTTCATAACAAGCCAAGAGCAAGGACAAAACAGGTGTGTGTTTCACCTGTGGACCCAGGTTGTCTGAAAAATGGAACCAGAAGCACCTCGGCTCTTCTACTGAGTTCGGGCTTTTGCAGGCTTCTGGAGCTTTGATTCTACCCATATCACCAAATTTCTTTCCCCTTCTTTCCGAGACTCCCACATGATATTTTCTGTTTCCTTCAGAACTGTGAAAAGGAACTGTTTGTTTGACTATGGGTTTCCCTTTTTCAAACTACCCCCACACCAAACCCATTGCTTTCTTCCTCTCTCAAAGAAGAAAGAGGAAAGCAAACCACAATAATACTTCTGTAAATTTATGGCCACTCTGTAATGTTTAATCACAGCTACGTGACTGGGGGCTTCGGAGCGGGTGTACAAGTTCAGCGCAAGGTGAATCTTGTCTGAGATAATCTGAAAGTTCATTCAGAGGTGAGGGCAGCAGCCTCTTGCAGACGGGTGAGGTTAACAGGAGGTCACCTGCCTTTTTTTTTTTTTCCTTCTGGTCTTCTCCCCTATAATGTGTAAACAAAAGGAAAATGTAACTTCCAATGAATTTGACATATGTTGTGCTCACGCTAATCTTAGCCTAGCCAACTGTAAACAGTCCAATATCCTGTGGCCGAGCCTTTCCACCCATTCTTTGTCTTTTGGAGAGCATAAAGAAAGCCCAACAGAAAGCAGAGACTCGCACCTTTTGTAGCCAGGCCCTGTTACTGACCTCAAGAAGCCAATGGATAGAGGTAGGAGGGGAAAAAGTGTTTGCTGGGACACATTCAAGGCCTTGGTAAGACACTGGCATCCTGCAATGTTTTCTCACAGTCAACAGGCAGTGTGCCTTTATTGAGCACCTTCTCTCCCCACCCATACAGTGCTTAAAGCTAAGAAAAAAGGACAAGTCCTTAAGTTGCTTACAGGCTGAAAGGTGAGAACATCTGTTATCTGGCCTTAGAGATTGGAGGATGAAGGTGAAGGACTTTGCTTATGTCCAGAGAAAGGTAAAGATAACATCTAGATAGAATCCTATCAGAAGTTCCCCTCCATGTAGTGCTGTGCTATAGTGTCCAGCCCATGTGCAGAGATGTCCCTAAGCTAGAGAATTCCAGAAGCTCCCAGAGGCAGAATGTAATACTGTGGGGGCCCATAGCCTGTGCCTCAACAGCTTACAGAAGACCAGTGGCCACTTGAAGATTTGACCAACTCTCATTTGCTACAAAATCCATACCTTGGCAAACAGCTGCTGGTCCAGTACAAACATGGATGGGGAACATATCTCTGCTGTACCTGTTGGATATGTAGGCTTATATTTAGTACTCCAATATCTGGAACAGATAATTGCTTGGTGAATTATCACTGGCAGGTATTAAATCTCAAACTAGTTTCTAGAATCCTTACTCATTGAGGGGTATTCAGACAATATAAGCTTTTTACTCTTCAATCAATATAGGATCATTTTAGTTGGTATGAGTTAGTAAAGGAAATCTAAAGGTATCGCGCGTCCAGGACACAGCTTTTGAGCTTTATGGAATTCCTTTTGTGTTGGGCTTGGTGCTCCTCTGCCTCAGCTGTCCTTAATACTAAGTACTTCATAGCTAACATGGATCCAGACCTGTTTCAGATAGAAATAGCAAAAAAGATTCTGCTCTTAAGAAATTTGTAATCTTCCTGAGGAGAAAAGATAAATAATAGTAATAATTATGATGATGATTTAAAATAGGTTATGATATTACCAAATGATATATTGTGCCAGAAACTGAAGATTTCTTAAGGATCTCTTTAGAATGGGGAGGATCTGGAAAGGACAAAGAGAAAAAGAAGGCATTTCTAAATCAGAAAACAGCATGAGTGAGGGAATGATGTTGTGAAAGTAGGAATGAGTTTGTGATCTTCACCATCATCACCATCTCATCATCATCATCATCGCTACTATTTGAGGAGCATTTAGTGTATGCCAGGTGCTATATTGAGTATTTTACCAAACTTAAGTATTGTTTCTACTTTAAAGAGAGATTACTTGCTGAACTGACTACACCTCCTGGGAAGAACATTTTGGATTTGCCTCAGTGCTACTTCTCTTTATAACTCCAAAGATTTCCTGACCACACCCAACCTTCTGTCTCTAGTACTGAGTTGTAAGATGTTTGTTTATGAGATCCATAAAAGGGACAGGAGGTAGAAAGTCATTGGAAAAATTTAGTTGCTAAGGACAGTGTCTTCCAATTATAAATATGTCTTGTAACCAGATGGAAAGGACTAGACAGAGGGACTGGCTAAAACAAGATGATGATAATTCCCCAGTGTCACATTGGTATGAATTTTTGGGTGATTTTCTTATAGACATGGTGATATCTCAGGTAAAAGATAGCTGTTTGTCTTATAGCTTGCTTATGGTATTTAAACTGTGGGTGGTCTCTTCACAAAAAAAAAAAAAAGTATATGATCTGGCCCTGATTAAGGTCCTTGAAAGAACTCTGCTCTCAGGGAACAAGCCACATAGACAAATGCTAATCTGGAGAATATCCATCTGGCCCTGGCTCACAGAGAATATGGATATGATGGCTCTGGGATTGGGAGAAGGGAATTTCGTTTGTATGGGAGCCAGGGGCTCTGGTCCACATTACATTGAAGCAAAAGTGAGACCAATTCCGGTTACTGTAAAGTTCACAAAGGTCAGTATTTAGTTACTTTTAAAAATCTCCTTGAATAATAATGATACCTTTGTGGTAATAATGTTATTAACTGTAATAATACTGTAAAGTTTTAAAGCAGTTTCACTTACTATACCTCTTTTCATATCCTTATTCAATAAATTAGAACAAGTTTTAACAAATTTACCTAATAAATTGAGTCAGAAATCTATAATGATTTAACACCTAACAACAAACCATATGTCTTAGTCACTTTCTTATCACTGAGACACCATACCCAACAGCCACAACTTAAAGTAGATGTTTATTTTGGCTCATAATTTCAGAGGCCTCAGTCTACATACGTGGCCAGCTGGCTCAAAGGGAAACACTGCATGGTGGGTCTGGTGGAAGAAAGTTGCTCAGGTGATCCAATCACCTTCCAGAAACCACCTCTGAAAACATGAGGCTTTTGAGGGGCATTCTAGATCTAACCATACTAGCACATGGAGATGATAAACACAAGGATCTAATGTTAAATAAACACTACAGTGCCATCAGAGATTAAAGACTTTATTGCTTTGACCACACATAAAAAATAGGAAAATTAAACTTGTATATACAGAATAAGGTAAGAGATCATTCTGCCTCAGATATCTGAGAATAAATGTTTCTTTTTCCTCCTAATTTCTCCAGCCCACCTGACTTCAACACTGGCTAGTTGGTATTTAGATACTTGGTAGAGAATTTCAGAAGCTATCTATTCAGGTTTAAGGAAACTGTAAGCTTGGAATCAAGAATAATAGCTATGAAAGCAGAGTTTGTCCCTCTCTACTATTCCAGATCAACCCTCAGATACCTTTGAAAATCTTCTAGAGGCTTACTAATCCATTTCCAAGGACTCAGAAATGGGAATGTAACTTCCTGACGTTATAATTCAGAGAAGAAATATTACATGTTTATCTTAATTCTGGTAAGGATAAGTCTTGGTGACCTCACTTTTATTGTGCTTCTTTCTTTAAAGATTCTCTGTGTGGAATCCAAGGAGAGATGGAGTTCCTATCAGTTATTCCATTAAGAATCTTGGCCTGGATTAGTCATCTGAATTTCTTTTTGTTGTTGTTGTTGTTGTTGTTCCAGGGATCAAACTCAGCACCTTGCTCTTGCGAGGCAGATGTGGTGCCACTGAGCTAAATCCCTGGCTCATCTGAATTTCTTAGTGTCATTTGTCGTGAGATCAGATTTCAGGGAGTATATAGTTGACCCACCAAGAGACCTGGTAGGTTTACATCATTTCATAGGTGTAGTAATAAAGATTGACCAGCAATCCCTTCTCATCATACTCACTAGCAGGCTTTCTGCTCCCTGGGCACAGCCAACCACCCCATCCACCCCATCAACCAGAAACAAATTGTACAAATTTCAGTCATGAATGAATTGATAAATACATTGTAGTATGTTTAAGTGTTCTTGTGCACTGGAGAACACTATATGACAGTTTAATTAATAAACTAGATTTAGATCCAATCAATTTTTATAGGCCTTGAAATCATAAAAGTGAATGAAAAAGGCAAGTTACAGAATTTTACATACAAAGTTATACACATATATGTGTGGCATAGAAACATGTTGGGTATGCATAGCAAAATCATGATAGCAGTCTACTCCAGGAAGGTGAAGGACAAGGGAAAGAGGGTATTTTACCTTTTTAATGTTTCATTCCTTCAAAAAGATGATAAGTAAAATTAGACAAATCATTGACATGTATTCATAAGGGTAACATGAATTTTACATTCTTTTGTACTTTTTCTTATTTCAAAACAGAAACTTCCTTTGTTCTCCTTCACCTCTCTAGGCATCTCAAAGATTTTGATTCTCCAACAGCCTATTAAATTAAACTGCATTACATAGAAGAAAGATAGACCTTCCTAGGGCCTTGGGTTATAACTGAAATCTAGCCATAGTGAATCCTCCTGGACCTCAGTTTACTGCTCTGTAAGATGATGGAATGAATGGTGCTGTTTTCGGCAGTTCATCACAGTCTACCATTTTAGCGGCCTCATTCCTATTAAGTGCTGAAAACTACTCTCTGTTCCATAGCTGCTTATTCCGTATAAGGAACTCTTTAGATTTAGAATCTTAGAACTAGGGACATTAAATATTGGTTGTCAGTAAAAGGAAGTTTTAGAGGAGTCCTGAGTCACAAAATGACTAGTGACAGGTCCAGAAACTACAGTGCTGGTCATCTGTCCTCAGTTTTGAGAATCTAAAGCTTTTCTATCACCAAAGGACTGTGTCTAAGGGTAGCAAGGGAACATGGGATGACTAACAGTATATTTATTAACCAAGAGACTGATAATGTGAAACAAACTGGGATCCAGGATATTTGTTAAATGCCAGGCAAAATTCAAGCAAAAATTGTTTTATGTAGAGAATTCTTAATCCCTCCAGGGAGAATTTTGAGAAATAATACTGTTATAATTTCTGGCATGAAGACAATTTTAGAAATTAGATTCTGATAGAAAAGGAAGGACATTGATGGGGCTAGGGTAGCAGGGAGGCTATTGTCCAAGGACCTAAGTAATTTCTAAGACTTCACCTTTAGTCGTTGAAACCTGCTATAGTCTGCACCCTCTGCCTATAAAAATTCATTCAGCAAAGACAGAGATAATCAACACATGTCTACACACACAAATGTACGCACACATGCACACACACAAGCTCACACATTTCTGAGTAGTCTTCATCAAGTTGTACCACTTAAGACTTGGCCATGATATTTAGCAAGAACTCCTGTACTGAGCCTGTGCATATATATGTATGTATGCATGCATGTGTGTGTGTGTGTATAGCCTTTGAACATCCGGGAACTGAATATGTTGTTGAGCAAAGGTGTAAGGTAATCTTACCCTCTAAAGTTAGCTGGTCAATAAAATCATCTAGAAAATCTAGAAATTTTTTTTGGGGGGGGGCAGCTCAGTGTTGTGTAATTATTGTCAGAAATTACTGATGTGATATGTATATGTACCAGTTCTCCAATTACTACATTATTATGTATCACAATCATATACTAATAAAAAAGAAACTTAACTAACCATCTGTGGGTGGGACTCTCAGTTCTGCAATCTAATACCCACACAGGTCACACCACTCTCTTTCCTGTGGTTCCATTAGTAAACTCTGTTACTTCCTGGAATTTCATTGAGTTGCTGGTCTGCCCTTCTTTGAGGTTATTCTAGCTTTAAAATTCTAGCTCAGGACTAAAGGTTAGGAAAGTCAGGCATTTAGCCATCCCTTATCACATTCTAATTGTTACCATCTAACAAGATTTAAATATGGTCCACAGTTTGGACTTCCCTAGCCCAAATACACAGGATTTATAGTAATCTGATTTAAGCGTTGTTAACAAACAAGTTCTGACTATGTCATTTCCTTTCAGTCCATTCTTGTATCCCTTTTTAAAAAATTTCTTCATCTGTAAAATGGAGATATCTACCTATTAGGCTATTGATTTTCCTGGGGATTATATAAAATAGGTAAGTAAGATACCAGTTCATTATCTGTCACATAGTAGGCATTCAAGAAATGTTCATTTTCCTCTTCCCATACATTTCTGCTACTCCTGTTTCTATTACCACTAGTCCTTTTGCGTCAGAT